AATTGATCTCTTGCTTTGGCTCTAAAAATTCTATAATTTTCAAGGTTTTCTGTTTACGTATACGAACGGCTTTTTGACATTCACCGTTAAACCATTTTTTTAATTCTGCTATTTTTATAATTTTTGTTAATGAAATAACTATGTAAGCAATCGTTTGTAATGTTAAAGAGAAAGTTTCAACAATATCAGCAGAAGTGTAATTAAATTCATTTTTTGTTAGATCAATAGAACAGAACCAAGTAAACGTGTCTCAATCTGCTTTCTTAAATTAAGAAAATGACGTCTTTCATCTGGTATAGAGTCATTTGATGTTAGTAACAATGGACAATGATAAATGCCGTACTAGTGTTCTAAAACTTTCCAATCGAAGTCCAATTATATAGCAGAGTGAACTGTCGAGAGGTAGATGCAAGAAAATGTACCTGTAGCTGGATGTAAATATGTAGTTGACCGATTGTTAAATAAAGTTGTATCACCCTTGTTATTTGTAGATATACTGCCCCACATAGGATTCTGAGCATTAAAGTCACCTAAGAAAATGAAAGGTGATGGTAATTGTCGAACAATACTCTCAAGTTCATCACTTGTTACCGTTACATTTGGAGGAAGGTATAGAGAACGATTTGTTACAGGGAGATGTAAGGGCACCTGTACCGCTTTAGCTTGTAATCTTGTTTAAGTTTTAGTTATTTTTGAGGAACGCATTTTGCGATAACAATGATTGTACCACTTAATGTTCTGGTGTTACTAGTGCATACAGAGTTATAAAGTGTATAACCTTTTAGAGATATTATCTTAAGGAGACAACATAGTCTCCTGAAGACGTAACACTTTGGGAGAGAATTTTGATAAAAGTAGAAGTAGATCATTATAATTTGTTTTTAGACCACTACAATTCAATTGAAGGATAAAATTACTTCTATCATACATTTTAAAAGATATGTACATGTATATTAAGTAGGAAACTTAATTGACCTTTTGGTATTCGGTGTTCTAGGAGGGGAGTGGTTAAAATCCTCATCCTCCATTAATCCGGTGTCGTGAAGTAGGCCAAACCGATTTTCTGTGTTGAAATTGGTTCCGCATTGCTTTTTTTAGCCGATCTGTAATGACGATTCGCTCTTTAGGCAATTGTTGATGATAGACCATCTCAGACGATGCTGTTTGAAGGTTTGGAGTTTGCTTCTTTGGAGAAGACTTTGATGGTGACTGAGTCTACACAGAAGTAGACTGTTTACTTGGTTAAGATGTTTGCTTTTTCGGTAATGGTAACTTAAGTGGAGAGGCATTGACATAAGTTGACCTGCACTGCAGAGTCAACCATCTTAACATACATTGTAACTGCAGCGGAATACGACAGTTGGTTCTGTCCTTGTGATTCAACAAGCTTTCGTGCATGTTGAAAGGAAATATTTTGTGAATACGTTTGACGAAGAATTTCTTTTTCCATTAACCACAAGGGGTATGACCTGAAAGTGGTGTTATGCTCTCCTCCACAGTTTGCACATTTAACAGGAACGTTTCAAGTTTTATTATTGTCATGCTTTGCTCTGTGGCAAATAGTCTGCTTTACGCAATTCGATTCATGATGACCAAATTTAAAGCATTTGTAACATTGCATTTGGTTTGTAATCTAAACCGCAGCGCAAACGTTAAGGTAACCTACCCGAATTAATGGTGGAAGAATGGGTGTGGAGAATGTTACAATTAAACTATTTGTTGGCACTGGCTTCCCATCTCTTGTAGAATAAATGCACTTGATATTTGAAACCTGCTGCGATTTTAACTCTTCAGCAATATCTGTCTGTATAATTCCCCCAAGGCCAGAACGCCCTTTCTGGAGTTCAGAGACTGGTGTGGTGTGGCAGTTGTATCATGTTAAGGAAGCTGGTACATTTCAGAATAATATCTGCTTGTTGTTTCCGGTTTTCCTCTATCAGGAGTCTACAATTGCGGAGTTTCTTGACAGATTAAGGCGTAGTTAAAGCTGAAAGTTTTTTCTATAATGAAGGGGCTAAGTTTAGTAAGTTATTTTGAGCTGTTTGATTTGATTATAAGAAAACGGAAAACTTTCATCAACTGAGTGTTACAACTTGAATCGTCTGGCAAATTTTTTGTTTGATTATCCTTGATAAAAATATGAAAATTTGTCTCCCGAGTTCCCCAGCCACCTCGGACTCCAACATGGAGATACGTGATGGAGACGGATATCCAGTCTCCACACAACAAGGATACGAGAGAGATATACTCGTATAGATTGCAAATATTTACAAGTTACACAATTAGCTCATTAGCCATCGCCTTCTTGGATATGTTATACTGTATTTATAATGCATAAATGAAGGATTGTTTTAACATAACGGCACCCATCATTACAGTTTTAGTAGAAATTTAAGGTATAATGGAATCACAAGTAGGAATCAAAATTTAAACTCAATGATTTTTTACAATGTATGTGCATTGAATTGTATTCATTTCGGGACCGTGTAAGTTCAATAAAATCTTCAAGTTTTTGAGAAATAAATATCCAAGGCCAAGGCGCGACCAGCCGATTGACGAAAAAGCCGGGCTGACTTGGTCACCCGTCTACCCTCAATCAGAGGCCAAAGCAGTGTGTTAGGAGTACTGAAGATTCCTTGGTATCCTTCAACTACCAGGACCCTCTTTTCTAGGTTGTCAAGTTGTTGGCCATTTATCCTTATACAGGCGCACAAAAGCGCACCCCCATAACGGACACATGTTACTCCCCCTCACCACGTAGTGGTACCATAAAGAGGAGAAGATCCCGATTGGTATTGATCAAGGTCAAGATCACTGTTACTAAGCATAGAAACGTTGTTTCCGAAAGAAAATAGACTTAAGAATGAGATATTGTAATCAACCTTGGTATAAAGGAAGATTATATGAAGACCCTGGCCGGGATTGATTTGGACCTCCATGAGTAAAGGTCACTGTTACTAAAAATAGAAAAATAGTTTCAGGATAATAACTAGGGTTAGCAATGAGATATTGTAATCAGACTTAGTATTTAACAGCTTATGTAGAGACCTTATTTGCAAGTTCAACGTCGCTTGTACGAAAAATATAAAAATGGTTTCTGAACGATATCAAAAGCAAGAAATGAGCTATTGTAATGAAAATTGGCATTACTCGTAAGTACGCTTATGGATCTTAGCTTTTTATAGGTTTTGGAACCCCTAGGTTCAAGGTCATGGACACTGATTCTAAGAATAGAAAACATGATTTTTTAAATAATAGCTAATTAATTGGACATGTATTAATCATTAGTACACAGATGAAATTTCATAAATAATAGGTCTAGTTAAAAGTTTGTTTCAGACCACTTATTTTCCAAAAAGTTAGGGTTTCTAAAAAGCGTATGAATATCTGAACAGAAACTGATTCCTCGAAAGCATTATTATCAGTAAAATAATATGAAAAATTGCAGACTAGGTTTGATTGTGTCTGTACATGAGTGAGGAATTATGAGAAAGTGCAATATCGCACTTCATCAAGATTAGCGGATTTTTTAAGAGGCGACTTGTCACTTGTCAAAGGTCATCTCGTTTGTAAATTTTATGAATGTTATTAAACGATGTAAACATTATATTTCATTTATTCACGGATGCTTTTTGGTTTTACAATTAGTTTTTTGTGTATGTTGCACTTTTGAATTTCGACAACCCGCGGTGAATTTCGGTAACAAACAATAAGATATTTTTGAAATGTTTTAAACAAAAGAGCAAAAGATCAGCACTTAAGAAATTTTAGGGGGCAAATGTCCGCTACTGCATAAAGGAGGGCAAACACCCGAGGGCAAATGTCCGGCTACCTGTTCTCTGTTCTCTGTTCATTAGTTCTTGTAATCTTGTATGTACTACAAGATGGACTTCTTTAAACTTATTTTAACTATGCATTATCGGAAAAAAAATTCCTTTTATGGAGAGGACAATGGCCTTTTAATGTTCTTCTTCTTCAAATTGGATGGTACTAAATGATTTGTGTACAAATTTTTAAACACTCCTCTTCTTTCAATAACAGATAAGATTCCTTAAAACTTTTGTAAATTGATCGTACTGTCGTGTAGCTATGCATCTTTGTGCTGAAGTGTATGGTCTGTTGAATATTTTTTCTAAACAATTTGATGGTACAAAACAATTTTCATACACATGTGTATGTGATGCCTCATCAAAGTGTGAAGCAATATTATGGATATTGTTTGATTGAACAAAGCGTAATCATTCATTTGCCATGTTCTTAAACGTCCCTTGAGTTAACTGTGACAGCTATAATTGTGAAATCTAACGCTCTAACCTGACCCACGTCGGTCATGTTAGGATACCACCATTTTATTCTTTATAAGGAGAAGAGATTTGTTCCTGTGACTGTCTTGTGTATTCATTTTGAGGACATTTACAGAATAATAAGTTAAAAAAACAAATTGAAGAAATGGAAAATTTGCCTGTATAACCCTTTTATAATAGAATAACACTACTATACAAGATTTCTGAAAAGATGAATGTTATTATGTATTTCAAGCAATTTGCAGAACAATGAAGAATGTGTGCAATTGCGAGCTTAAAATAACTAGAATACTTTTTAATTAAACTATACAATCCAAAAAAGTACAATAGTTATGCATACAATTTAAACACATGGTATGTCTATCATTTTGGAAAATTTTAACCTCAAGTGGAGATAGTTATACTCTTTATAATGCTAGTGTTCTGTTAACTTATAATGATAAGCCCATTTACAATCAGGGCATATAAAATTACATGTAAAAATAAGAATTTTCTAAAGTGTGTTGTTATGTCAAATGGTAACTGTTTTGTGGTTGGATCTAAAACTTGTTTGCCTGACAACTGAAAAGTGTGTGTATGAACATGAGCTGATAATAGTCTTTTTACAATGTGTGCACATTAGTTTCGGGTGAATAAGTGAATAGGTTCAGTTGCTTTTTGTTATACTATAATTGTTTTTCAATTATCTATTTAAAGGCAAACATTGCAAACAGAACTTGAAATTGAGAAGAAGGCTGTGAAAGAAAAGTCCCATTTTTTGGATGACAGAGAGAAACAAATCAAAGACCTAGAAAAAGTTATCAGAGAGAAAGATGGTCAATTGAAAGTGTTAGGAGATGAAGCAGAACATCTATCAAAAAGGTAAGTCTTTTAGATATCTGACATCCATCTTACATGATTATAAAAGTGTTGATCACTGCCCATAACGAACCAAAAATATAAAGAGAAGTGCTAGGACTTGCATTAAAAATACATGTTTTGTACAACTGTAGTGACTTGCATGAACACTTCAAGACCTAGGGGTTATGGAAATCATTGCTTTTAATAAAAGCTTGACACATTTTTTATAATTGATAGAAAAGGCTAAATAAACAACAACACGTTATTTTTATTTATCATTTTATAAAGTGTATGTCAAGTCATCAGGAGAAAGCATCAAAATAATAAAGATAATTATGTCTATCTATAAATGAAGTTGTTTTTCTCTTTATTTTGTCCCTTCCTTAATCAAATCAGATATTTACACTCAGAACATATGTTTTCTTCTTAATCTATGAGACTTTTTTTTAAAGTACACCTGTGTTAAATACTCATAAATGACCTTGACATTGAAGGTCACATTATTGAAGTTTTCATTATTTTGCTGTATTTAATTAATGAAGGATTGACTTCATATTAAGATACAACATTCTTCATAATAAGACCTTTATGTATATCAAACTCAAATTGACCTTGACTTACTGATGATTTATTTATAATTACGGAATTTTAACTGATTTTTGCTATTGTTTACTGAAACTTGGTAAATAATCAATTGATAACCTTCATACAAAAGAAACATTTGGACAAGTTTTGCTACAAGATTGAAATGACCTAGCCTTTTAGCATTCAATGACCTTAACCATTACGTTCAAAATATTGAATTTGGTTTAAGTATTATAATTTTGCTATTTTTGTACGGATTTGTCAAAACAAGACTCGCTACCAAACAAACATATTGAATAATTTTGATGTGACTTTGACCTTAATTAGCCCTGATTTTTGCTATAATTAGGTGAACCTGGTAATTGATGAATGGATTAATCATTTTCATTCTTCATGCTGAATTTTTTCTGGCCTCGATATTGTAAGATTTCGTTTTATATGCATAATTTATGCAAAGAAACATTATTGAAGATTCATTCTTAATATTGAGGCAGAACTAGCAGTTTTCAGATTCTAGTGATATATAGTACAAAACTAGCATATGTATTTATATACAACATGTCAATACAAATAAACTTAAGTAAAATTGATATAAATATCTTTTGATAGTGGCATTGATCTTGTTGATATTTCAAATAAACATGTAATATTTTACACAGTAGGAGAAGTTAATTATATTTTTAAATTGAATTTTTGCTACATTTTATAGCCGAATAGTATTACACTTAGTCAATTTTGCTTCAAATGTTTCACTTAGAACCCCGTATGTCGCTTTAATGGTGTTCGAATGAACTGAATATTTTTCAAATACCCAGCAGACATTTTAAAAAAATATCTTACGATTTATCTTAAGTTATTGACTTACGATAATCGTAAGTTAAATTTTAAGTCATTATCACAAAGCCACTCGTAAGTTAAAATTTATCTTAAGATAAAAAATTCACTTACGATAAAAACATTCCTAGCAACCTGTCATTTGATATTGACGTACATGCTCTATATTTGTTTCCGGTTTAAAATCAAGTAATAAATAGGTTGAAATATGTATTGAACACAAAAAGAAAACAGTTTTTCAAACTGATATATTTTCTATCTTGATTGAAAATAATTGTATAGACCTAACTGATTCTAGAGACAAAGTCTGATACATTATTGCTAAGGTATAAAATTATAAATAAAAAGGTGCCACTAGTAAATGCCGGCAATGATGTCGAACCCACCAAATTATCCAAAATATTAGTTATCAAAAATAATTCTATACAGATCACATATATAAACTATTCAGAACCCTTTCCACCATGACGTCATCAAGTCATGACGTCAGAAATGTTACGTTCAAATTTTAACTTAATTTGTGTCAGTTATAACACTGTTTGCTTATTAAATATATATATGTCCATTTTTTGTTTGTTTAAATAAAAGATACATGATATTTTACTCTTCAGAGAAAAAATATCACACTTTCGAACGGGGAACACCTATCGTAAAGTAACGATAGATTTTGCACCTAAGTTTTGCTTAAGATTTTTTGTGAAAAGGAGATTTATCGTAAGATTTTTCTTACGGTAAAAATTGTCGTAAGTTTTTTTGTGAAAATGTCTGCTGTATTTGCTGTGTGGGGTTTAAGAATTCATAATATGTATGTGTTTTCTTATTTCTTATGAAAAATTGAAATAAATTATTTGAGACTTTAGCTATAAAATTGTATGCACAGTAATGAAATTTGGTATATATGTATATCATACAGATTCCTAAATTTACAGGAAATTTTATTTTTAAACGGTTTACCATTTAAAAGTTATTGCAGTTCAAAAGCGATTTTCTACTCGTAAAAATGACAAAAATGGGTTTGTAGAATTAAGCCAACGATGTGAAATTATAAAAGAGGTAAATCTAAGATTTTTGGCATGAAGCATTTTCTAATAGATGTCTACCAAGTTTGTTCATGACAAATAAAATCCTTAGGGTCAAAATGAACCCCGCCCCAGGGGTCATTTATTGTGTCGCCCTAATAAGGCGACATATAGGGGTTTTTTTGTCGGCGATGTCGGCGGCGTCGGCGTTGTTGTCGGCGTCGGTGTCGGCGTCCCCTTAAGCTTGTCCGGAGCATAACTCAGTTACTATAAGTCTGATTGACTTCAAACTTGGTATGCATGCTTCTTTCAATAACCCAAAGTGCAGTGCATAAGAACCGGTACTCTGCAATTCTTATTTTTTGAGTTATTGCCCTTTGTTAATTTTCATACTTTAATTTTGTCCGGGCCATTTCTCTTCAACTACACAAGCAATGGACTTGAAACTTCATAGGATGATAGATCTCACTAAGAAGAAGTGCAGTGCACAAGAACTGGTACTCTGCACTTCCTTATTTTTGAGTTATTGCCCTTTGTTAATTTCATACTTTATTTTTGTCCTGGCCATTTCTCCTAATGTATAAAAGCCATGGACTTGAAACTTCTTAGGATGATAGATCTCATTTAGAAAAAGTGCAGTGCACAAGAACCGGTACTCTGCACTTCTTATTTTTTGAGTTATTGCCCCTATGTTAATTTTCATACTTTAATTTTGTCCGGGCCATTTCTCCTTAAGTATAAAAGCTATGGACTTGAAACTTCAGAGGATGATAGATCTTATTAAGAAGAAGTGCAGTGCACAAGAACCGGTACTCTGCATTTCTTATTTTTGAGTTATTGCCCTTTTAGCTCACCAGAGCCGAAGGCTCAGGGTGAGCTATTAGTATCAAAGGGGGATGCTCCGGCGTCCATCGTCCGTCGTCATGCGTCAACAATCGTCTTCTCCTCTGAAACTACTGGGCAGATTTACTTCAAATTTGGTCTGTAGCATCCTTGTGACAGTCACACTTCAAGTTGCTCATGTAATTCCAATTGGCCCCTTTTAGGGGTCAGCAGAGCTAAAAAAAGAAAAACCTTAAAACATCTTCTTCTACAGAACTAATTGATGGATTATCACCAAACTCTGTCTGTAGCATTCTTGGGTAGTGTTTTATCAAGTTTGCTCATATTAATTTGATTGGCCCCTTTTAGGGGTCTCTAGGGCTAAAAATAGAAATACCTTTAAACATCTTCTTCTACAGAACTAATGGATGGATGATCACCAAACTTTGTCTGTAGCATTTTGGGTAGTGTTTTATAAAGTTTGCTCATATTATTTTGATTTGCCCCTTTAAGGGGCCTCTAAAGCTAAAAATAGAAATACTGTTAAATGTCTATTTCTAGAGAACTAATTGATGGATGATCACCAAACTTTGTCTGTAGCATTTTTGGGTAGTGTTTTATCAAGTTTGCTAATGTTATTTTGATTGGCCCCTTTTAGGGGCCGCAAAAGCTAAAAATAGAAATACCTTTAAATGTCTATTTCTACAGAACCAATTGATGGATGATCACCAAATATATTGTCGGAAGCATTCTCGGGTAGTGTTTTATCAAGTTTGCTCATATTAATTTGATTGGCCCCTTTATGGGCCTCTAAAGCTAAAAGTAGAAATAAAGTTAAATGTCTATTTCTAGAGAACTAATTGATGGATGATCACTAAACTTTGTCTGTAGCATTTTTGGGTAATGTTTTATCAAGTTTGCCAATATTATTTTGATTGGCCCCTTTTAGGGGTCAGCAGAGCTAAAAATAGAAATACCTTTAAACATCTATTTCTGCAGAACTAATTGATGGATGATCACCAAACTTTGTCTGTAGCATTCTTGGGTAATCTTTTATCAAGTTTGCTCACATAAATTTGATTGGCCCCTTTTAGGGGTCTCTAGGGCTAAAATAGATAAAGCTTTAAACATATCCTTCTTCAGAATAAATTGATGGATGATCAACAAACTTTGTCTGTAGCATTCTTGGGTACTCTTTTATCAAGTTTAATTATATTAATTTGATTAGCCCCTTTAGGGACCACTAAAGCTAAAAATAGAAAAAACTTCGAACATCATTTCCTACTGAAATAATTGATAGATGATCACCAAACTTTGTAGCATTCTTAGGTAGTCTTTTATCAAGTTTGCTAATATTAATTTGATTAGCCCTGTTTAAGCTAAAGCTTAAATGCCCCAGGTCATGGCATTTCTTCAAATTATTGTTTAAACATATTCTCAAGATTAATTTGAGAATATATTGACATTTCAACACTGAAAAGCAGTTGTTTCTGGTGAGCGACTCAGGGCCATCATGTCCCTCTTGTTTAATTTTCATACTTTATTTTTGTCCTGGTCATTTCTCCTCAAGTATGAAAGCTATTGACATGAAACTTCATAGGATGATAGATCTCATTAAGAAAAAGTGCAGTATACAAGAACCAGTACACTGCACTTCTTATTTGTGAGCTATTAACCTTTATTAATTTTCAAACTTCATTTTTGTCCAGGCTATTTCTCATAAATTTTGAAAGATATGGACTGGAAACTTCATAGAATGAT